AATTGAGCCATACCTCCAGCCCATTTTGCTCTGGTTATTTTAGAGATGGAGTCTTGCACAGTATTTGCCTGGGCTGGCCTTGAGCTACATTCCTCCTAATTTCCAAGTAGCTAAGATTACAGATGTGAGCCATCAGCACCCAGCCTTGGTACTGATTTTAGTATGTTGATTTTCTATCCTCCTACTTTGCTGAAAGTATTTATCACATCTGAGAGTTTTCTGGTGGTGTCTTTAGGGTCTTACAAGTTATACCGTCTGGAAATAGGGATAACTTGATTTCTTCCTTTCCTATTTCTATCATTTTTTTTTCTTAGTGCTCTGGTTAAGAATTCAAGTACTATATTAAATAACAGTAGATAGAATGGACACCTTGTCTTTCAGTTTTTCCCTATTTGGAATGATTTGATTATAGGTATATAATTTTTTTATTTTTGGTGAGACCAGTGTTGGAATTCAGGACTTTGCACTTAAAAAGCAGAATTTGCTGCTGAGCCACACCTCTAATCTATTTTGCTCTGGTTATTTTGGAGATGGTGTCTCATGAAATGTTTGTTCAGGATGGCCTCAAACAGTGATTCTTCTGATCCCAGCCTCCCAGGTAACTAGGATTATAGGCATAAGCCACTGGTGCCTAGCTTGATATATAACCTTTATTATGTTGAGTTATGTTCCTTCTGTTCCTGGCTTCTTCACAGCTTTTATCATAAAGGATGTTGAATTTTGTCAAAGCCTTTTTCTGCATCTATGAGATGGTTGTGTGATTTTTGTCCTTAATTCTGTTTATGTGCTGTATCACATTAATTGACTGCATAGGTTGAACTATCCTTATATCCCTGGAATGCAACCAACTTGATCATGGTATGATCTTTTCAGTGTGTTGCTGAATTTGGTTTGCAACTATTTTATTGAGAATATTGGCATCTATGTTCATGAAGGAAATTAGTCTTTATTTTTTGTTGATGTGCTCTCATCTGGTTTTGGTATCAGGGTGATACTTGCTTCATAGAATGAATTTGATTGTGTTCCTTCTTCTTCTGACTTATGGAATAGTTTGAAGAGGACTTATGTTAGTTCTTGTTTGAAGGTCTGGTAGAATTCAGCAGTATTTTGTCTGGCCTGGCCCCTTTTTTATTTGGGAGACTTTGTTACTGCTTCAATCTCGTTGATCTTTATAGATCTGCTTAAGTTTTTCATATCTTCTTGGCTCAGTTTTGGTAAGCCACATGTGTCTATAAACTTGCCCATTTCTTCTAGATTTTCCAGTTTGTTTGAATATAAGTTTCCAAAATATTCCTTTGATTATCCTCTGAGAAGTTTCATTTGTATTTGTTGTAATATTCCCCCCCCCCTTTTTGTAACCTCTAAATTATTAATTTTGGTCTTCTGTTTCTTTTGGTTAGTTTGGCTAAGTGTCAGTCTGGTTTATCTTTTCGAAGGACCACCTGTGTTTCATTGATTCTTTGTATTATCTTTTAGTCTGTTCCATTGATTTCCAGCCTGATCTTTATTATTTCTTTCTGTATTCTAATTTGGGGTTTGGCTTGTTCTTTTTTTCTCTAAGAAGTTGAAGCACATCATTAGGTTATTTATTTGAGATATCTAATTTTTTTAAATGTTGGCACTCATAGATATAAATGTTCCTCTTAGAACTGCTTTTGTTGCATCCCACAGCTTCTGATATGTTGTATTTTCATTTGATTTTAGGAATTTTTTTAAATTTCCTGTCTGATTTCTTCAATTACCCACAGATCATTCAAAAATGTATTATTCAATTTCCATGTGTTTTTACAGTTTCTGTAATTTCTCTTGGTATTTATGTCTAGTTTTATTCCATTTTTATCAGGTAAGAGCAAGATACTATTGTAGTTTTCTCTTATTTATTAAAACTTGCTTTATGACCTAATATATGATCTGTTTTGGAGAAAGTTCTATGGGCTGCTGAGAAGAGTATGTATTCTGCATGTGTTTGCTAGAATATTCTGTAAGTGTCTATTAAATCCATTTGCTCTGTGGTGCATTTTAACTCTGAACATTTCTTGGGTTTTTTTTTTTTTTTTTTTTTTTGTCTGGATGATGTATTTATTGGTGGAAGTGAGGTATTGAAGTCTCCTACTATTGTATCTGGACCTATCTGTCCCTTTATTTCTAATAGTGTTTTGTTTTATGAAATTTTATACACCAGCCTTTGGTACATATAAATTTACATTTATTATATTTTCTGATGGATTGTTCCACTATTAATAGGTAGCAACCTTCTTTATTCCTTCTAACTAATACTGGCTTGAAGTCTGCTTTGTCAGATATCAGTATAGCTACTGCTTGCTTTTGATTTCTACATCCTTACTTTATCATTTGCCATCCTTCCACTTTCAGTTCATGTGTGTCTTTGCCAGTGAGGTATGTTTCTTGCAGACAACAGATAGATCTTTTTTCATAATGCAATCAACCAATCATCATCTTTTTAAACTAGACATCTCTTTGGTTTACATGCTTAGTAATTCAAATATTGGTCTGTAAACAGGAACCTATTCTCCTGGGGATGAGCAGAGTTACTGGGGATGCTCAGAGTTTTCTAAGATGTAAACAGATGTAACATAGTACCACAAACTGAATGGCCTAAAACAACAGAAATTTCCTGATTCATTTCTGATGGCAAAAGTCTGAAATGACAGAGCCCTTGCTCACCCTCAGGTTCTCGAGTGGAATCCTTCCTTCCTTCTTCCAATCTTGTGTGAGAATTTATTTTATTTTATTTTTATTTTTAGGTAGTACTTCAATTTGAACTCACGGCCGCTTGCTTGCTAGGCAGGTGCTCTATCATTTGAGCTACACCTCCAGCCATTTTTTTAATCTTTTGTTGGTGGCAGTGATTCTTGCTATTCCATGGTTCCCCCTATATCAGTCCATCTCTGCTTCCGTCTTCATATCACATTCTTCCCCCTGTGAATCTTCACAGCATTCTCCCCTTGTATGTGTCCAATTTCCTTTTTTTAAAAAATAAGGATACCTTATATATTGCATTAGGCCCTACCTTGATGATGTCATCTTAACTTAGTTATATGTGCAAAGAACCTATTTCCAAATAAGGCCACATTCTTATTACTGAGATATTTGGTGCTTGGACTTCAGTATATATTTTGGAGCAACACAGTTCATCCCATACAGATGCTGTTATGTGTGCTTTCTTTCCTAAAATGGAGGCAAAGTTTCTGAGTTATGAAAAAGAGCTCTTTCATATTTTCTGTGGTGGATTGTGATGGCTATCAAATATTTTTGGTATTTAGATTCCATTATAAAGAATGATAGAGCATTTTAATTTTAAAGGCAGTGTTATAATTTTTGTAACCATTTTAATTCATGATGAAAACTTTTAGATGTCAAATAGATGTGTGGGAATGCATAGTTTAAAAAAAAGAGGGGGGAGTTGTATGAGCAAAATTTTTTGAAGACCAGAGCAATACAGAGCAGAATTTCTCAGCCTCAGTGCTATTGATGTTTTGGATTGGATCGTCACTGTGGGGAGGCTGTCTTGTAGGATGTTTAGTAGTATCTCTGCCTACTATGTGCCAGTAACATCCCTCCAGTAGTAAAACCCAGAAATGTATACAAATATTACCTAATGTCCTCTGGGGAATAAAATTGCCCCTGTTAAGAAGGTAGAGTGCTTGCCTAGTAAGTGTGAGGCCCTGAGTTCAAACCCTAGTACTGCAAAAATAAATAAATTTTAAAAATAAATGATCTGGAACATATAGATCTTTTAGCCAGCAACATGGAATTTATATTAGCATTTCAGTCATTTGGTAAACTCAATTTTGACTTGTCTACCAGATAACTAGTCAAAAGCATAACCTCAGATGAAAGGTTTTCTAAACACATAATCTTAGGGACGTAATGATTCATTCACAAGTCAGTGTTATCCCTGTATCAAAGCAGGTGGCTAAACAGCTACTTATCAAATGTCTGCTATCTTTTTCCCCATCTCTTTGTAAACCTTAGCACCATGTATGTCCTTCTGTATATGTGGAGTCAGGATAGGAAGTAGCTTTGTGTAAAACCTCTTGTTTGTAACAATTCTTATTGAGAGCCTTCTCTGTTACATTGTGTCCTTTCTGTCATCAATGAAACCACATTACTACAGTGGTTTACAGGTGAATTGACATGTTTTTCTTTCAGTTATATCGCAATAACCCTTAAAGTTTTTTTTTTTATATACCAAGCTTACCAGGAATCTCTGAGCCAAATATTTGGCTCAATTGTAGTGTCTTCTTTCTGTTTGAATAGTTAATATAAGCTGGAAATATAAAGTGAGATTATATTGCAGTAATTTAACAGATAAATAAAATGGTATCCCCAGTACAACACAAATTTTAAAAATTCAAAAAAATAATATGAGGTACCAACTAAAATAGAGGTATTAATACTTGGGAAGTAGAGGCAGGGTAATTGCAAGTTTGAGGCCAGCCTGCGCTGCATAGTGAGATGCTGTCTCAAAAAACCAAAGGCTGGAGATGTAGCTCAGTGGTAGAGTGCTTGCCTTGCATGCACAAAAAATTCAAGTATTCTTCATCCTAGAGATGAAGTAAAGGACGGTAATATTGTACAATTCTTCCTTTTTATCTTTATCAGAGACAAGAGCTTGAACTAGACGTGCCTTGCACATATCTAATGCAGGGTGGCAATTCTTAAAATTATTGTATTTTTGGCTTAAGGGACTGCTCTAGCTGGGAATAATCGAGCATACCTGTAATCTCATCACTTAGGAGGCTGAGGCAGGAGGACAATAGGTTTGAGGTCAGCCTGTGTTAAACAGCAAGAGTCTGTCTCAAAAATAAAAAAGGAAACACTCACATTTATCTTACATAAATGCATAAGTAATACAGCTTTTCCTATTTAAAGCCTCATGTCAGATGTTATATTGGGAGATAGTTTATTATAATTTTATATGTTTTTGTATGCTTTGTTGCTCTTTGAAAAAAACAGTTAACATTTTCTGCCTTTAGTCTCTTGTTTTCCAGCACCCAATATAACTTGTAAGGATTTCAGTGGCAATGAAACACATTTTACTGGAAATGAAGTTGGTTTTCTCAGGCCCGTATCTTGCCGAAATGTGTAAGTATATGACTGAAACTTAAAATTTCAAATTTCTTGCCTGTGTTGTATCTTACATTCATGGAATAAGGAGATAAAGATACACTTTCTGTGAATATAATTTTATCTTTTTGCTTGTGTCATGAAACCTCAAAAAATAATTCCTTTTTAGTCCTTGGGATGGAACCCAGGGCTTCATGCGTGCAAGGCAAACACTCTTATCACTGAGCTAACCTTCCGCAGTCCTTTTTAATTTATTTTGTGACAGAGTTGCCATAAGTTATCCATTTAAGTTATCCTTGAATTTGCAGTCTTCCTGCCTTGGCTTCTTAAGTAGCTGGGATCACAGATGTACACCAAGAAAATCTCTTCTTTAAGTCTGCATATATTTTTATAACGTAGTTCAGCAACCAAGTAGAGCCGAGTTCATTGTGTGGGATAAATACAGACTATAAATGGACGTAGGCCTTGTTGATTCAGGGCAGTCAGTTTATGCCAGCAAATGAGTTCGAAAAAGTTCTGTTTTTCTGCCAGAGGTGGTGATGCCCACCTGTATTCGCAACGCTCAGGAGACTGAAGCAAGAGGATCACCACTTGGAGGCCAGCTTGGGCTATTGAGTCAAGGCCAGTCTGGGCTATATATTGAGACCCTGCCTCATAGAGTGAAAACAAACAACAACAACAAAAAAAACCACAATTTTATTTTTAAAATTTGAGGGTTTTCTATAGTACAATTAGGTATTATATCAGAAAAGCACTAATTATTAATGATTTGCACATTAAAGACATTTTAAAATTTGGTGTCATTCCTTATAATAGATATGGATGATGAATGGTAATGTTAAACAGAATTCTAAAGTATCAGTTTTAGATATAGTAAGACAAATATTTTGCTAGAAATGTCCTGCTTAAGGGACATTTAAGTTTATTTTTGCTATACTAAAGCTTATATCTCTGCTTTGTACTAAAAGCTTGGGTTTTTTTCACATTTTTATTAGATGCTAACACTATTTCTACCTTTTAACTGTATATAGCTGCATATTATTTGATGGTACCTATTTGCAGTCCTATCAAGAAATAACCACTGTTTGGCTATTTCTACAACTTCTTTCAGAATCCTTAGAGCTCTTAGGGTCCTTTCTTTTTCCTTTTGATCCTACTTCATTGAGTTAATGAGGATTTTAACATTTTTATCTTTATAATCCCAAGGCAAACACTTAACCTTGTTGAGCTCCAAATTTTTTCATTTACAATGTGAAAAATGTTAAAAGGAATTATTTCCAAAGTGCTTAGGTATGGCTTAGTTGGTTTTTAAATTATAGATTGATTTTTCTGCTGATTACTAAGCCACTTACCTTGGTTTTTCTTGCCCTCTATATTACTTGGAACAGGCTATAAAATGTTTTCTGGTTTTTAGTAGTTTAACACACTAAAAGTTATTTCTCAGTGCTCACAGTGACTCAAGTAGTAGAGTGCCTTCCTGCCAAGCGTGAGGCCCTGAGTTCAACGAACTCACACACAAAAGTTATTTCTTGTTCACATTTTGGTCCAATTTGGGTTACCTTGGAGGTCTGGGAATGGGATGTGAGCAGGGTGATGATTGTTTCACATAGTTATGTAGAGGACCAGTACTTTCATCTTGGCCCTTTGATTCCTGTAGTCCTCAGAGTCCTTTCTAGTCAGCTAACAGATGGGAGAGAAGAGAGAGAGCCCTTTGAAAATGTTTCTTAAGGGTCAGACATTTCTGTCTTCATTCTCCTGGCCATGTGCAGTTTGCAAGTTGGCTATGAAATGTAGTTTAACTGTGTATCTATAAGAAGAAGAGAAATGGTTCAGTAAATAAGTAGACAATCTCTGTTATATCATGCTTCGATTACTCTTTAGCATGATTTTCTAATTTCATTTCCCTTCCCAGCGAAACTTTTGAAAGGATTAGGGTTTTCGTTTCTCTTTATTTCTCTCTGTTTTCCTCACTCCCGTCCCCCCTCCCTCCCTTACAAGTGTGTGCCACCATGCTGGGCTGAGTTGTTTCTAACTTGACTATGAACTTTTATTTTTGTCTAATGCAGTATGGCTTTTGGCCATGCTGAAATTCACCAGCCTTCTTTGTTACAGTAATAAATGGTTTTACAATCCATTTTGTAATCTTTCTACAACATTGCATATTTCTTTCTCTTAAAATATTTTATTTTTTTGGCTTCTAATACAAAGTATATTTCCATTTCCTTTGATTCCTGTTTCTTTGCTACTGCTTTAAATCTTGGGTTACCCAAGATTATATCCTTGGTCCTGTTTTTCTTTTTGATTCATTCACTCCTTTTGCTTCTCTTATATAATATATTGCAGATATGTTATCATCTATATAGTCCAGATATATGTGTGTATATATGTATGTTCCAAAACTGAATCTGTCATCTTCCTTCAAATCATTTCCTCCTTTGTCTTAGGGAATGGCATCTCTTCTACCCAGTTTCTTAAGCAGGTGCCTTGAAGACATTCTTGTCCTTTCCCCTCATTCCTTGCTTCTGGCTTCTTAATATTTGCCAGTTTTCTTTTTTTTCTGCTTCTGCTACTGCCCATTTGATTACCACCTGAGTTTCTGCAAAGGCTCTTTATTTTTCTACCTTTATCATGGTACCCTAATTCAGTGTACCTAGGGTGCCAGTGCCCTCCACATAAAGTTAGACATTGTTGTAATATATCTGTCTATGCTCACATGGTAATCTCATGGCTCTAAATACTTCCTGTATGTTTGTAACTCTTCAATTTATGTATGTCTCCAGCCTAGATATACTCTAAATTTGCAAATTCAGCTATTTATATTGGACAACTCCACTTGGATGTCTGATAAACATCTCAAACTCACATATCTAAAACTTCCATCCCAATTTTCCAAGATCTACCCATTCTTGCCTTTTCCTACCTTGTTCTTCTAGTTCCTTAGGATAAAATCTTCAGTGCTAGCTTTACTATTTTCTCTCTCTTTTTTTTTTTTTTGGTACCCTAAATTTAATACTTCAGGATAATCTAGTTAACTATACTTCAGAATATATCCAGAATTTGATCACTTCTCACTACTACTTTTACTATTACTCCAGTCAAGCCGTTATTAATTCCTACCTGGATTATTGAAATAGCCTTCAAACTCTTGTCCCTGTTTGAATTTGTTCAGCAAGAACTAGGGTGTGGCTCAAGTGGTAGTGTTAGACTGAAAAGAGGCACACAATACATAGATGGGAAGACAGCTCGGTGCCAGCACAGGGCTTATTATTCAGGAAGAAGCCCTGAGGAAGGGTCCCCAGCAAGAGAGCTGGAGACCACAGGTTGGTGGTGAAGTCCCAGGAAGGTCACTGGGTGGGAAAATCCTCATTGGCCCTCTGAGGCTCCTGAGATAATAACTTAAGGGCAGGTCATTCTTCTAGAGCAAGTGGGGAGTTGCTAGTAAACGGCTAAAGGTGGTGGTTTATTTTTCTTTAGGGCCAGGTGGCGTTTCCAGTAAGCCACCTTCAAGGGGAAAGGGGTACAGTTTTAATATGGCTTCCCTTTTATTCACCCTGACAGTAGAGCAATTGCTTAGCAAGCATAAGGCCCTAAGTTGAAGCCCCAGTACAGAAGAAGATAGATGAATTTGTTCAGCAAATATTTATCCCTCTTGTTCCTAGTCAACTGGGTAGCATAAACGTCCCACTCCATTGATTTAGAGCTTGACCATGTTACTAAATTTGATCTCTATAATGTTAGCAGGTGAGAAGCAAACAGAAGCTTAAGTGTGCTTGTAGGGTTTGGCTTTCCTTTTTTATTTTGATGCTATGTTCTTCAAGGAATTTACCCTACGTAGCTGCTATACTGTCAGCTTGAACCCTAGAAAAACTAAGTTTTTCTGACTGAACTGCCTTGAACTAAATCTAGAGCCTGGATCCAAGCTCAGCCACACTTCAGCATGAAGCAGATTCTCCCAGTTGAACTTAAAAGTCAGTTGAAGCACAGCCAATCTGCAATCTACAAGTGTGAGAATAATAGCTTATTGTTGTCAGCTACTAAGTTTTGGGGTGGTTTTTGTATGACATTATTGTAGAAATCGTTGATCAGTATTCCCCTACAGTCTTTATTTTCAGCACAGCAACCAGAGTGATTACTTTAAGATCTAGATAAGGTCATGTCACACCTTAAAATCCTGCAGTAGCTTCCCATTGCTCTCAGAGTAAAAGAGTATTAGTAGTGGTATAGAAGGTATAATCTGCTTCTCCTTTCTGACTTTATACATCCCCTAATAATCTTTTCTTTTCTCACTCCTGCTACTCTGTCCTCCTTGATAGGCCTGAAACCTGCAAAATATGCTGCCTTTGCACCAGCTTTTTCTTTTGCCCTCCACGTGGCTTAATCATTTACCTCCCTCTGGTCTTTGCTCAGATATCACATTCTCAGTGAGGCTTACCTTATCACTCCTTTTAAGTGGCCTCTGGCATTCCAGATTCCTTATAACCTTGGCATTCTGAAACATCCTGCTTCATGTTTTGTTTGTTTCTATAACATTTATGATTTTCTAACAAGTTATGTGATTTATCTTTTAAATATACTTGTGGTTTTTCTTGCTGCTACTAAAATGTAAGCTCCCGAGGTATAGGAATCTAGGCATCTTTGTCGTTTTTATTAATATATCCCCAAGGCTTAGAATAGTGCTTGTGACATAGTAGTTACCCAAAAAGCATTAATGAAATGAACTAGCCAATTAACACATAAGTAGTAATTCACAGTTTTGTTTTCTAAAATGTTCACGTGTTAGAAATACATGAATATGACACTTAGGTTTTAATTCTGCGCAGAAATGGCTACTCATACAAAGTGGCAGTTGCATTGTCTCTTTTTCTCGGATGGCTGGGAGCAGATCGATTTTACCTTGGATATCCTGCCTTGGGTGAGTATGTTTCATCCAAAAAAAAAGATTCTTGTGAAACTTGTAATCTAGTTAAATACATGTATTCTTACAGATTAAATCTCTGCATATTGTAAATTCCATGAAATTGAAGTTGAATAGTTAATGTTCTTCTGTGAATGTAGAGCTTTCTGCTAGCTCTACAATTCAGCTTAAGTAAGAAATACTGACTTTTCCTTTTGAAAACCACACTCAGGACAATGTAGGCACTTGCAGCAATACTTGGAACTGTCAGTGCTAGTGCCAGGAACACTGTGTATGTGCAATAAGGGCTTTATGAATGAATGCAAATCCTCTGTCTCTCCAAAACATTTTTTCCTCTACCCAATCCTCTGTTACTTTAACTTGGGAGTAGAAACAGTTACTTGGAGGACAAATTTCTGTTGGACTTTGGTGATCAGCATGAGCTGGGATGGAGCCTGACTTGTATCACCCATTAGGATACTCTTCACATCTTCCCCATAGTTTCAGTCTGCACATTTGCTATGGTTGCTAAGGCTTATGAGAACTATTTGCACTGGGCCATAGTTTCTGTTAAACAATACTTTCATATGCCTCCTTAAAATGTTTTTTTGTTTGTTTGTTTGTTTTAAGACAGGGTCTTGCTCTGTAGCCAAGGGTGGCATCTAACTCTCATTCCTCTTGCCTTGCCCTCTTAAATGCTGGGATCACAGGCATGTCTTTGTTTTGTAGATCAGGAAATTGTCATGAGCATGAAATATTTATCCAAGGCTACTTAGCAAGTTGCTTTAATTTGAACCCAAATCTCCTGGCTCCAGAGATCGTGCTTTGTTTACTACAGTACTCTACTGTCTTATTTGTCCTTCACTGAGCCAGTGTAGAGATTGCAAAGAGGAATCTTCACTGTGGGGTAGTGGGAGGTATGTTTCTGAAATCCATACCTAAAACTGAATGTAAAGTTCATAAATAAAAGTCAAAGTTTAAAGTACTGTATGACTACTTTTTTTAGTAACCAGACATTTCTTTCAAAGAAAATAGCTGCAGTATTCACTAAAGCAGCACATGTACTTAAACTGGAATGATAGACAAGATTAACATGGCCCCTGTGTGACGATTACGCACAAATCTGTGAAAGTTCCAAGTTTAAAAAAAAAACAAAAAGACCATATAAGTACTATAGGAGTAATGATGATCACAGTGTATATTGGTAAAAAAGAAAATAAATGTGAAGTAAGCCAGGTGTGGTGGATCATGCCTGTAATCCCAGCTACTTGGGATGGGAGACAAAGATCAGGAGAATTGCAGTCTGAGGCCAGCCTGAATGAAAAATTAGAGACCCCATCTGGAAAAATGACTGAAGCAAAGAAGGGCAGGTGGTAGAGTGTCTTTCCTAGCATGCAAAAGGCCCTGAGTACTGCCAAAAAAAAAGAGTGAAACATGTTGATAGATCAACTTATGATGTAGCACTGTAAATAAAACCATAGCAAAGTGCTTTGAAAGCACAGAAAAGGGACTAATTCAGGAGGCCTTGGGGAAGGGAGACAGACTTCTTAGAAGAGGTGACATTTGAGGCAGCTTTTAAAAGATGAAGAAATTAGAGATTTAAGTAATTATAGGGAACAGTATGTGCAGGGTCTTGGGGTATGAAAGAGCATGGGTATGTATTAAGAGAAAGAGAAAAGTTTTACCTATGGCTTAAGAAAAATGGTGACAGCATATGAAGCTGACTGCAGAGGTAACCCATCGTCAGATTATAAGGCTTTGAATGTCTTGCTATGGAGTGTGGATTTTACCCTTTTAGATAGCAGAGGGGATTAGAGGTTTTGTTGTTACTGTAATTTTGTGGCTTTTGTAGTTTTGGGGATTGAAGTCAGGGCCTTGTGTTTCCTAGGCAAGCACTCTACCACTTAAGCATGCCTCCAGTCCCTTTGCTTTTAGTTTGTTTTTCAGACAGGGTCTTGTGCTCAAACTGCAGTCTCTTACCTCATCTCCTGCACAGCTGGGATTATTGGCATTACACCTGTTTTAGTTTTGAGACAGGGTCTTTCTAGCTTTTGCCAAGTTTGCCTTGAGCTTCCATCATTGTGTCTCCACTTGGAAATTAAAATCTTTAAGCAAAGTGTCATAATCAAATTTATATTTCAGCAATATTAATATTGGTGGAATTGTGAATAATGGCTTAACATGAAGAAAGACTTGTGTCAGAGAGAGCTAAAAGAGGTTGATGCCATAGTCTTTGCCTGAATAGTAGTGCCATTTGGTAGAGCAACTGTACTTTTCCTTAATACAGCTGAAAACTGTCATATGCACAGAAAGCCTCTGAATTGCCAGTATAAAAAACATTTAGTCATTAGATGATGGATGGATAGAGAAACTTAAGTTTATAAGGAGAAAGAAACATGATATGGTGGTCGTTACAGTCCAGCCAAGTCTTTTGACATTTCTTGTATTTTATTATGTCCTCTTTAGTAGGAATGGACAATACATTTTTTTGGAAGTATTTCTAGCTTTTAAAATGTTTTTAAAAGGTTAGGAAGAAAGAGAAACAGTGTTCTTTAGAACTGCCTTTTTTTTCTGTCTTGAACCCAAGGCCTCATGTGTTAGGCAAGTGTTCTACCACTGAGCTACATTCTCAACCTTCTAATACTGAAAAAGAAAAAGTCTACTTTGGTATTTGCAAATACCAAATAATGAATTCCATAGCATAATAGTTGCTACTGGTTTTAGTGTCACATGGAATGTGTCCAAGTTGATCAGTGTGTATTAATAGATAAGATGAGTTATAGTGGATATAGTTTGTTTCTTTAGTAGTCATATTGAATACCTAGTTTAGGCTAGGCATTATGACAGCCTACTTCAAGTCGTTGCCAGAAAGACAGGGGAAGACAGACAAATAGACAATAAATCGAACTCTGGGATATTTGCTATGCTGAGAGTTAAGGCAGTGCTAGAGGAACTTCTAAGAATGACTTTAATTTCATCCTTGGGCCATTAGAGAAGACCTTCCAAAAGAGAACATCTGTGTTCTCCCCCACTTTTTTTGGGATGCTAGGGCTTGAACTAAGGGCCTTGTACATTCTACACACACACCTTTACCATTGAGTTACATCCCCAGACCCAAATAAATTTGACATTTGTTAAACATGCCACATTGAAACAATCAAATAATCATATTCAAGATGACCATATCCAACATTCCCAAAAGCTTCCTCATGCTCCCCCCCAACTTAATCCCTGCTTTTTATCCCTCTATGTCCCACCTCTTTCCCTTACAGGCACTAATCTACTTTCTGTCACTATATATTAGCTTGTAAATTGCTTAAATTTTAAGTATCATCTGGGACCTCTTTGGTAGTTCCTTTAAATGTGCTCTACTCCAGGGTTGTACAATGTTTACCAGATTTCCAAATGCAATTATCATTACCTTATCTAAGATTTAGTCTTTTTTTTTGGCAGTATTGGGGTTTGAACTCAGGACCTCATGCTTGCTAGTCACGAGCTCTGCCATGTGAGCCATGTCCTAGCCCCATTTTATTTTAGTTGTCAGCTAGGGTCTCACGTTTTTGCTTGGGGCTGCCCTTATACTGTGCTCCTCTTACCTACAACTCCTACATAGCTGGGACCACAGGCACAAACCACCACATCTGCCTATTGATTGAGATGGGGTCTCGCTAACTATTTGCCTGGGCTAGCCTCAAGTCTCAATCCTCATGATCGCCACTTCCCATGTAGCTGGGGTTATAGATGTGAGCCAACATGCTTGGCCTTCTAATATTTTATTTTAACAGAGACTTCTCGTGTTCATTTTTGTGAAGCACTCTTAATTTATATTTCCAAGGGAGAGAGAGAGGGACAGGCAAGGAGGGAGGACAGGGATTTAGCTGTAGAATTTCCAGATTTTCATGATGGAATCATTTTACTGTATTTTGAGTGTTCTCACATTTCTTTTGCCAGCAGCTGTACTTCTGTATCATTGTCTTAAATGATGCATAGTATTCTGTTCTGTTGTTACATATACCTTAATTTTTTGAGACAGTCTTTCCCTACTGAATACTTAGATTGTTTCCAGTTTTTATATTCATATAACAAGTATCCATCAAACTCTTGGAGTCTGTCAGGTATTGCTCAGGGCATCTACATGAGTAAGACAGATGGTACTTCTGCATTAGGAATTTACACTGGAGAAGACGAAGGAAGATGAGTGAACAAAGGAACCCACTGAGTAAGGAAAGGAACCCTGCCTGTTAACAGATTCACAATCAGGCTGGAAAGGAAAGAAGCAAGAAAGAAGTGACAGAGCTTTGGGTGGTGGGAGGAGCACAGGCTGCTTTACACAGCAGGTCAAGGAAGGCTTCTGCGAAGAAGTAGCTGAATATGAGAAAATGTACCAGAAGGGTACTGGAAGAACATCCTTGGAAGATGGCAAAACTAAGACAAAGGCCTTAGCTCATGGTTGCTTTTCATTCATAGATGAGCAATGAAAGCAAAACTTTTTTGAACTATTCTTAGTATTCTTTTTTTAAAGAACAAATTAAAGGGGAACTATGGTATTTCCAGATTTATACTAAAATGCTATGTGAAAAAGGATATATTTTCAAAATATAAAATATACTGAGTGGATAAAATCTCAATGGATAAGTTTCTTTAGACAACTAATGAAAAAAAGTCAGGAGTTATTATTTAAAATAGGTAAAATGATGGAGGTGTTTAGGAAACAGAAATATGAGAGGATTTAGCACTTTAATCAGTAGATATGGACCCTCTGTCTCATGCAGTGTTGTAGGCACTAAGAGTGAAGGAATAAGCAAAATAGAAGTCACTGCCCAGGGAGGGCTTCCATGAGACAGATAGCAAGCAAAGATAAAATGTTAGGGAGTTAGGGAGAGTGGAGGGGGGCAGAAGATGGGGAGAGATGGCCCAAACAATGCATATATATATAAATAAATGAATAAACAATAAATTAAGGAGGTAGTAAGTGGAAGAAAGCTGAAGGCAAAATTCAGCTTGTATGTAGGAGGTAATCTCATCATATTCTTACATTTTTTAGTTAATATTTGTAGTCGATTTTGGAGCTACCTTTTCACAGAGTCTTGTTTCATATTATTTTTGTATATCAAATGAAATGACTTGTAAGGAACTCAAGTTTAAAGACTAAAGAAAGATTGCTAGCTGGGCAGACTGACACAGGATGATTGTAAATTTGATGTCAGCCTGAGCTATGTAGTAAGACTTGTCTCGAGTTAAAAATAGGAAAAGAAAGTATTGCTCATCCTGCTCCCTCCCATCATCCTCCCCCCATTCTTGCCTCTTAACAGTCGTCATGTTTTGGGGTTATATCCTTGTATACATCCTAGATTTGATGTTCTATTATCACCTATTTTATTAGTATCCTAGTTCTTGGGTTAGGACCAAGGATAAAAGTATACTTGATATTCAGCACAAGTGTTGGTTTTGACTACAGAGTTAATAAAGAAGAGATTCTTAAGAAAAAGTCTAGGGTAAATTATAGGTAATTGGATTACTAATCAAATTTTGCAGTTTTTACAGCAAGGTCAGTGTTTTCCCTAATTATTTTTTGTGGCATGACCATTTATACATTAAAACTTCCCACTCTAAATCAAAATTTGAATCATGTAATATATTGAGTCTTATTAAATCAATAAGGAATTTAGTACTAAAAGATGTCTTGTAACTCTGGTATACTGAGTTGTTTGGTTTGGTTTTATGATGCTGGGAAACCCAGGGTCTCCCAGCAAGCTCACTGAGCTACACCCTCAGTCCATTGATATACTAAGATTTAAATATTTATTCTTAAAGATTTATAGTCTTCAGAAATTTTGTGCCAGGTGCTGGTGGCTCATGCCTATAATCCTAGCTACTCAGGAGGCAGAGATCAGGAGTATCTGGCTTGAAGTCAGCCTGGGCAAATAGTTTATGAGACCCTATCTCAAAAATACTGAAAAGGAGGTGAATTTAACTAAGATATGTTATAAGCATTTTTGTACATTATATCCCCAGTACAGCAACAATATGATAAAAGAAAAAAATTTTTTTTTTATTTTGGCAAAAAAGGTTTATCTTACTTTTGAAAAATAGTTTTTATAAAAAGAAAATACTCAAAACAAAAAGGGGTTGGGGTGTGGTTCATGTAGAGCACCTGCCCAGCAAGCATGAGGCCCTGAGTTCAAACCCTAGTCCCACCATAAAAAAGAAAGAAAGAAAGCGTTTTGTAAGGTTACACTGAATTTTTCTTTCAGTTATTAATGTTTATTAATTTATAAATTCTTTTATTTAGTGAAATAAATGAATTTATAATTTATTAATTCATTAAATAACTTTTTTGTGGTACAGGAGTTTGAACTCAGGGCCTCATGCTTGCTAGGCAGGTACGCTACCACTTGAGCCATTCCACCAGCCCTATTTGTGGTTTTTCTATATGTAAGAATCCTTTAAATTTTCCTATGTTTTTAGGTAAAGATTTGATGATTTATTTTAAAATTTTTATTAGCATATAATACTTGTACAGGGATACATTTCGATATTTATATATCCCTTCCATCATTCTTTTCCTCCCTCCCTTCTTAGAACAATTTCAGTAGGTTTCATTGTTCCATTTTCACATATGAATACAAAATGCATCCACCATATTCATCTCATTCACCCTTTCCTTGTGCCCACTCCCCTCCTGCTGGTACCCATCCCTGGAAAGGACATGCTTTACCCCTCTGCGCTTCATTTGTTTTTTCAGTGTATATTGATGGACCAAGGGGGTTTTGCCTTGTTACTTCAGGCCTGTATATTTCATTGCTTTAATCAAACTAACCCCCCCCATTACTTACTCTTTCTCTGTTACCATGCTCCCCTAATATTCAACAGCATAGAGTACAGTACATTATATTACATTCATATATAGATAGGCTGTTTCAATATTTTTCATTCTCTTTTAACATTTCCCTCCACATCCTCCCATAGTCCCATCAGAATTGCTTATACAGTTTTGTTCTCTCCCTCACCATGTATATGTATGTATGTGTTGTGTATATATTTGTGTATGTATTATGTGTATATATATGATCATATATGTAAATATTATTTTTAAAGTATTGCTTTTCATATTATAACTAGAGTTTATGGCATATATTATGATTTATTAGAACATGGAAAAGTTTGTTAATATTTATAAGAGTTTCCAGATTGTAAATGACTTTAGTTTCTTTTCTAGGTTTGTTAAAGTTTTGCACTGTAGGATTTTGTGGAATTGGGAGCCTAATTGATTTCATTCTTATCTCAATGCAGGTAAGTTGGTTTCAATTTGAAATGTCAACTACTTTTATATTCAGAATAAATTTTTAGGGGCTAGAGGTATGACAGCCTGCCTAACAAGTAGAAGCCCTAAGTTCAATTCCCAGTACCACACTGTCCCCTACACTCCCCCAAAATTAGATATATTAGGAAGCAGATAGGAATGTTTTCTTCAGATGCCAAATCTAAGGGATTCATAGTCATGTTTCTAATAAGCATTTCCTAAACTGTGGTTCTAAAAGATGCAAGATATTCATAAAAAAAAAGGATTCCATGCTCACATGTGCTTTGTAGATATGAGTTCAACTGAATTAGAGATTTATCAAGGAACTTTTCAGGATCTTTATAGTGTGTATTGAGTCTGCAAGAAGGATTGTGGTTATTTCTCAAAGTTACTGTTTATTTGCCTAAAGTCATTTTTTTTTTTGCCTTGTCAATTACAGTAATAGGACATTGACAGGACACAGATACACACATGAACATCAAGGTGTTCTAAATAAGAATTTCTTTTGCACTAGACAGCTACTCTATACTAATACTCTGCTGATTGCAAATTACAGAAACTAAAATCAAGCAACTTTACGGAAAAAGAAAAAAGGAATGTATGAATGCTCCTTAGAATGTCTGGGACAAGGGGCTAGCCTCAAGCAAGATCAAGTCCATACAAACAAACATGTTCCATACTCTCTTGATGTTTATCTGTTTCTACCTCACTTTCTCCTGTTACAGTGGGGACGGGCAAGCATAGTTTGTGAGATACTATCCTTAAGCGCTTAAAAGTGTCCCATATGTCTTATGGTGCACTAAACTGGTGCTTAATTCATGAGGATTCTAAACTTTGAGAAAGAGATGAATTTCACAACAAATATTGCCAAATAGTACTTTAACAAGCATTCATGGAGCACCTAATGTCTTCAGGGAGGGTGTCAGTGTGCATTTAAATCGTCTGTTTTGCTCTGCTTTCTCATCCATCATTTCCACTCTTCAATTCTGGCTGCTTGATATTATTATTACACTAAAAAGGAAAGTTGAAATTTAAGAGATTTTGGTACCATACTGTTAGGAGGAGGCATCATATGGACCAATAAGATCCCAGAATTAAACAAGGAAAATATTTGGTTTTAAAGTTGGAATTTTCCTGCCTTTACTCATAAACATATGCCTAACCAAATATCCTGCCTTCTTTAACTGCAGGACAGGCAAGCAGGCATGAAGAGGCTAAGGTACCTGTGCATGTATGCTTCAAGAAATTTAAAGTATTATTGGAATTCATCAAGTTAAGATACCCAGAATTCAAAGTGTGTTTGAAACCCAACAATATACCTAATATTTTCATGCTAGGTTCTTTCCTTGCTTTATAGCTTTAGTTATATCAAATGCTAGAGCTGATTTAATTCAGCCACTAGTTCCTGCCATGTGTGCATCTGAACTTTTCATAGTAAATAGTTCTTTTCTCCAAAGAGCTCTTGGGATTGGGGTTCTTAATGCTATCACATTAAGAAATTATTGAGATAGGTGCTGTCAAGTGGTAGAGCATTTGTCTAGTAGACATCAGGCCCTAAGTTCAAGCTTCCATATGCACCCCTCCACCAAAAAAAAAAAAAAAAGAAATTAAGACAGAATTAGAGTGCTTGAATTTCTGCAGTACATTTATATGAATAAGACTTTTTAATAAGTATGGCCAGTTTAGACCACTTTCAGATTGTAGGAAAAATAAATTAGTTTTAAAATATAACCAAATAGGATATGTAGCTTTATTCTACATGAAGTATAATACACTTAACATGATGTTGGCCAGGTGTGCTCTAGCATGCCTGTAATCCCACAAGTCAGGAGGCTGAGCCAGGAGGATCCTGAGTTTAAGACCATCCTGGGTCTTAAACTCAAAAAAAAAAAAAAGAAGATGATGACTTCATCAGTTTTAGAGACTTTTTTCCCCCAGCAAATTGATCAAGTTTTTTACTATTAATATCATAAATTATCTTAGTATTTATGTCTCGAATATATTTTTTTCAATTTCTCAATAGACCTTCCTTTTGCATTTTGTCATTTTTTTCCTAATTCTTCTTTCTTTCCCTGTTTTGTCCATGCCTGATTTTTTTTCACTTTTTCTTTAGTCATTAAATATTATTTCCCAGTGAATAGCAGTGTTTTCCTATTGAGCTGTGATATCACACACATACTGTGCATGGACTCACACCTAGAAAAACATTCTTTGTCTTACTGTACTTACAGCAAAAATCTAGAAGTCCAGTTAATTTATCTTAGAACCAAAACAATATGAAGTATGATACACATATTGCTAAAGTAAGTAAGCTTTATATGTTGTTATATTTAATGAAAGTACTTTATTTGTTAATAAACTTTGGAAGTTTCATTTTTTTGTTGTTTTTTTGTAATATGGCCTCAGCTGGCCTGGAACTCAATATGTGGCCTGGGCAGGCCTCAAACTCAGATCTTCCTGCCTCATCCTCCTGAATGTTTGGGTTATAGGTTTGCACCACCATACCTGGCTTGGAGGCGGCTATATTTTGTTCTTAAAAGTATGCAAATTAGGAGTATAGCTCAGTGGTAGAACTTAGCATGTCCAGGGTGAAAAATAGGTAACTTGTATGAGTCATGAATGGGATGACATAGTAAATGGAATACATTCAACAAAAATCTAAATCAGTGACTCAGGCTGGTGGAATGGCTCAGTTGGTAGAGTACCTCCGTAGCAAGTGTGAGACCCTGACTTCAAACAACAGTACTACCAAAAAAAAAAAAAAATCAATTACTTGTGTATACCATACCATCTTTCAAATTTAGGTAACTATAGTTTACTATAGTTATTCCTACATCTAGTTATATCACTATTATACATGTAGTTATTTATACATAGTTCTGCAGATTTAAAAACACTCATTCTTTTGTGCCTATATATTTTTATATATAGTCATACACTGCCTAACTACATTTCAGTCAACTGAAATGAACCATAGAATTATAAAAATAGAACTAGAAAATTCTTATTCCCTAGTAAGGTAGGAGTTGTCATGATGTCATAGCATAATGCATACCTCACATGTTTGTAGCTATGCTGCCAGTGATATAGAAGTACATCAAATACAATTATGAATAATGCATACTTGAAAACAACCAGAAATGACTATTACTAGTTTAGGTACTCACTGTCACTATTTTAGAGCATACTTTTCCTACTCATAAAAAGTTTGCTATAAAGTAGTATACTGTATTATAATTTCAACAGCAGCTTCATGATTACATCCAGAAGCAGCATTGGGTGATTAACCTATACCATCTAGGTTTGTGTAGTACACTCTGATGTTTGTAGGGTAATAAAATCACCCAGCCATGAATTTCTCAGACCATGTCTCCATCATTAAGTGATACATAATTCTACATCATGAATAACAGATTAAACAATGAGTTTTTTATCAAGAAAAAATAATATTTTGATTACATTTAAACATCTTTCATCACATGCACAATCCGAACATCTCAAATTATACCTGAATTACTGATGTGTACTCTGCCAAACAACCATGAATCCAGGAAGCTGAGTATTATACAGGGGGAAAATGGAATGCAAAAGGTAGTTAAAAGGAAGTATGTCAATTTCTTTGTTTTAATTTAAATATTTTGTACATTATGGAAGAAATTACTTTCATTTTCATTCCTATTAACATTACCCAATGGATTTTCTTGAAGGAAAAATCTCCAAGACATTTGTGAATTTTATAAATAAATGTTTCAGATTTGCAAAATGTTTCATTAATTTGGCATTTAATATATGCCACTCATTTTAGCACTGGCTTCTATGTTGCTTTTTTTTAAGCTTTTATACACTAGGCTTGACGTTCCACACATAAATTTCTTAAGGGATAAAAAAAGGCTTTTACTAATCCCCATAGCACCGGTAGTAATGCTAGACGGAGTGAAGTGTGTCCTAATTTTCTTTTTTTCTGATTTGAAGTGAATGTGGTATACTTTGTGAAAAGCATGGCTTTGTGCCAAGTACAAACAAGAAGCTAAACATGGTAGTCTTAAAAAGTGACTGCTTTCCTTTAGGATCTGTCTTAATGCATTTCGGCTGCTGTAACAAAATGCCTTGGACTAGGTAATTTATAAACAACAGAATTCATTGCTCACAATTCTAGAGTCTGGGAAACCCAAGATCAAGGTGCCAACAGATTTGGTGTGTGATGTGAGCACACAACTTTGTAGATGGTGTCTTCTGTGTGTTCTCATGTGTCAGAAGGGAGAGATAAACTCTATCCAGGCTCCTTTTGTTAAGGTACAGTACCATTTACCAGAGTGGAGCCCTCATGATTTAATTACCTCCTCAAGGGCCCACCTCATCATTCCAGCTAATGGGGATTAGATTCAACATAAGAATTTTAGAAAAAAAAAAAAGAATTTTGGAGGGGCACAAACATTCAGACCATAGCAGTACCTTAGATAAAATTTCACAGGATCACTTGAGGGGCAATGAATAAAAACAAAAGGTGATGTAATGAACTATATATAATAGGTTTTATGCTGACATTTAAATAAGTTTAATGAGCACAAATCTAGGTATAATAATCTTGAGATCCTTGTCCTAAAGAAATTTATAATTTATTCCAAAAATGGTCTAGTAATAGATTTTATTTATTATCAGAAATGATATATTGACTTGAGAAATTAAAAAGCATTTTTATCTCATTTAATTTTACTGTGTACTGTTTGACCAAAAGAAGAGCTAAATGTGTACTCCTAAATCTAAGCACTCAGTTGTTCACTAGATGTAGGATAGCACTATGTAAGTGCAAAGCACTTTTTGTAAATATCAAGCCTTTCAAATTCTTACCATATTACCTATTTAATCCTGGTATGATTTATTAGGGAAATAAACTGGAAAACCTGGTGACTCATAATTTATTTGTGTAGTTTCTACTCTGTCATGTGCCATACTTGGGTAGGTTTCATGTAGTTCACATACCCTCTGAGGCCATATAGTGACTTAAAGGAATTATCAAAATAAAAGTATTTAAAACTGGTTCTGAGATTAATCCCAAAGCTGTGTTTTCCTCAGGAGATATAGTAGTGAAACTTACTCATTTCTTAAAGAATAATGTTGATACTGGTTATTTAGAATTAATACTAGCCAGTCTTTAAATCAAATTAACTCAGGAGATCCAAATTCTAGATTCTAGTACCAGGTAGGAATTTTGATGCTTAATTAAAATGTGACTAATCAGATGGTTTTAATGTCCTCATATTACTTACCACACACATAGTCAGCTGTGGAACAAATGCAATTCAACTTTTAGGAAACATAAAGGTACTTATTTGGGGGAAGTAAAATGGACATAGGTTGCCTCAGTGTCCTGTAACTGCAGGCCATTGAGTCACTGTGCTTGTCACCAGCTTAGAAGCCTTAGAGATGATTTGGCCCTGTCAGTGTTAGAATTTGCATTCTTTGTATGGAGAAAGTCAGAAGTGTTTTAGATAGAAAAAAATGTGTTGGTAGAGTTGTATAGAGTGTCCTTTCTTTCATTTGTTCATGCATTCTTGAATTTATAAAATACTTGATTACCCATAAAAGTATGACTTCAATAACAATGTAAAGTAATTAAGTGAGGGGCTAAATCTATTGCTATAGTTTAGATAATAAAGTACTTCCCCATAGCTCCATTTTTTTTTTAAATTTATTTTTATTAAAGTGCTACCTAAATATGTACAAACAAAAATATAGTTTAAATGAGTACTGGTAGCTCACATCTATAATCCTGGCTACTTGGGAGGCAGAGACCACAAGGATCACATTTTGAGGCTAGTCTGGGCAAAAAGTGAGACCCTATTTCAAAAACACCCAACACAAAAAAGGGCTGGAGGCTTGGATTAAGAGGTTGAGCACCTGCCTGCCTAGCAAACATGAGATCCTAAATTCAAACCCCCAAAATTTATAAATTTATAAAATTGGATATAAATTTATAAATTTATAAATTGGATATTAATACTACAACATTAATAAAGTTCAAGTAAGGTAAGTTAGTTTGTGTTGAAATACATATAATAAGTTTCCCATTTTAACCTTTTTTAGGTGTATAGTTCAGGGGCATTAATTACATTCAGAAATGCTGAGCAGCCATCACCATTATCCAGTTCCAAAACTTTTCATCACCCAAATAACATTCTATACCCATTAGGCAATAACTGTCCCTCCCTCTTCCTATCACTAATGATAACCTCTATTTTCAGTCATTATGAATTTGCGTACTTCACAATATTGCACAAAAGTGGAATAAGATAATATAGACAATATTTGTCCTTTTGTATCTGCTTTTTTGCTTGTCAAGATTCATCAGTGTTGTGGTATGTTTAGGAACCTCATTCCTCTTTATGGTTGAGTAATATTCCATTATATATACACGTTTTGTTGATATTTATATACCATCGTACACACATATACCCCTCACATTTTGTTTATGTGTTTGTCTGATGATGAACACTTGAGCGGTTT